AAAGGAACACACAGCTATTCGAGTAAGCTGGTCGAGGATTACCTGGATCATTTTCAATCCGAACGAGATCAAGGATCTCATTGGTTGGAGGAGGACAAGTTTTGTGGGTGAGCAGACCACAGTGATGGAGCAGGCTCTCGTCCTTGAGAAGTTCTTCCGACGCAACGGACTTGGCATTCCAAGTGTGGACCCGTTGCTCAAAAAGGGGGTTTAAAGGAGGAGCAGAAACTTCCTGAGGAACCTCCTTGACCTAGGGGATGGAAGGCCAAGAGAAAGGCTCAGCAGGACGGACAAAAATAAATCGATCAATCCACTAAAGAATATTGGAGGGAACGTCGTTGATAAAATGAGCACCATTACGGCTCTTTAAGTAAAGGCCTCGACCTTTCTTGGAAGGGGCGTAGCAGTAGTGGAAGAAGGTAAGGTCGAATCGACCAAGGCGAATGTGGCAAAGAATGATGAAGGTGGTCATGAACCGGATGGCGTTGGGAGGAAGTTGATGTAGGGGAAGCCCGAACCACTCACAGATCTGAAGTAGCTCAGGACTTAGAGGAAAACGAAGACCAAGTTTGAATTGGATTTCGAAGAAGATGTAGAAGCCTTCAGGAGGATGGTCGAAGGTATGAGAAGATGAAGGGATATAGAACGCCCAACCGGTAGGATGACCGATCTTTTCGGGCCTATACCAAGGGTTAGAAAGAAGGGTGGAAGAAGAGCGCTTTGCGGAAGCCCGTGAGGGGTTTTTGGTTGAAGATTTTTTCGGAGGAGAATTAGAAGGTCCAGGTGGGGAGGAAGAAGGCGGAATGGTCGAAGATGCGGGAGCAGTAGGTTGAGCAGAAAGGACCTCGTCCTCCTCTGGCGCATCTAACACGCCGAGAGCAGGTCGACAGCGGTAGAGAGGGATATTACCCATAGTATTCCCAGAGTTGGAAGAAGCAACACGGCCTGTGAAAATGCGTGTAGGAACAGTATCGTCGGGGCGGAGGATAGAGAGAGGAACAGCTTCAAGGGCAGAAGACAATATCTCAACTAATCAGAGGAGGTGGTCGAGGTAGCAGGATCTGAAAACAAAAAAGAAAGGAACAATATCAAAAAGAGGAATTTTGGCAAAAAAAGAAAATAGGAAGGAGGAGAAGGCTTTCAAAATTAGGGTTCCACGAAAAGGGCGATATTGAAGAGGGGAACAGGGATTCCGAGAGAATTTCAAAGGGAGAGGACGAAATCTACAACGATTAACAGGCGAGCACAAAAATTCATCAACACACACATTCAAAATACTCAATCAGCAAACTTCAGACACCCTATTCGAAAAAAAAAAAAGAAGAGAAAAAGTTTTTTAAAACGCAAAATTTCAAGTATAGGAAGCGTATAATCAGGCGAAGAACAACTTACTCATAACCGCAGAGGGGAGAATCGGGAAGACTCAAAGATTGCAGGGAAATCACCGAGGAACATAGGGTTTTTTGCAGAAAGAATTTTAGGCGCAGGAGAGTTCGAAA